TTTATTATTATATTTTATTTAAATTTTTTTTATATTTTTAACTATATTTTATTATATTATATTTTAACATATTAGTTATATTTAAAATAGAATGTTCAAAATGAAATTGAAGTTCTATTTTTTAACTTTTTTGTAACCATTTATTATTAGTATTAATTTTTTTTTCCATTTATTTTATATCAAATTGAAAAATTAAAAATTCAATTATAGTTTTATAAAATTAGGTTCGGTGTCACTCGACATTCATCAATCGTAGAAAAATAAGGTGGTAGATCTCCATTCAAGTTATCTTTAAAAAAAAACATAAAAGTTTTTCTATTATTAATAGGGGAAATTTTATAAAGTAAAGCAAAAACGAAGTTATTACATGTTCCAAATAAAAGTTTACAAAATGCAAGAAGATTTATTGTAGAAAATGGCACTCTGTTGCCATAGCAACATGGTAACTAAGGAAAAATGTCAAATTTGTTTCCTCACCCTGGCAAAGATTGCAGTTAATAAGAATGACGCTTTTAGCTGATTTTTTTTCCAATTTATAGTAGGAAGATAGATCTGTGCAAAAGCAGATAGTTTTTGCAAACAACTTTTTTGTCAGGTGGTAGGCCTGTTTAATTTTTGCAAACATTTTAAGTACAAAAATGATAAACGTTTTCTTTAATTTCTTTACTTTAAAAAACGGTTTTAAAATTTTTATTGCATACATCTTTATGAGATTCCTTGCATAAATCTGTTGATTGCATACATCTTTATAAGAGGAATACTTCCTGAAAATTTCATTTAAATCGGTCAAGCGGTTCTCAAGATACTTCTGCCAGGAGATTAAAAACACGCGTTCTGAAAAAATTAATAAGTTAAAATTGTGATGAAAAATATTTATAAATAACAAAAATACAAAAAATATTATATAAAAAGAACATGTTAATAGTAGTTTTTAATCATGAACACCAGCCCTATACATATTTACTTCTTTCTGTTTAAATTTGATAGATTTTTTATGTTTGCAGCTTCTTAAAATCTTCCTTTATTTCTTAATGGTGTCTTGATTTTTATACTCTGACATGCTAATTTTTTCTCTGGTTCAAATAATTGCATCTAGAAATGGTATGCTGTCCTGGTATTATATTAAGTCTTTTAAATATAAGGATACTTGACTTTAATCCAATATAAAAGGCTCCATTAGCATCAGAGAGTCCAAATTTCAGTTACATAAGCGAAATATACTTTGACACTGGTATTCTGGAACTTATCATATCATTAAAGCTTTAAATTTGGTTCTGTGTTTTTCCATGAAGTAAAAGATTTAAGTAAGCATCTGATATTAATTCTACAGAAATGGAGTTTAACTTAAGTTCAATTTTATTAGGAAGACCTGGTCCTGGTTTATACTCATTGGTTCCATAAGCTTAATCCCAATTGTATTTACACCAACTGTCTTTACCTGTGGGACAATGCAGATAATGCTAATTATTTTTGCTTGAAGATGCTGCATAAAATAAACTTGCTGAGGCTGAAGATATGATACCTTTAAGGTTGCCACAATTTTGACTAATGCAAATACCAAATTAATTTTGCGATCAATCAATCGATCAACAATGTTGCTGTCAACCCATTGTGTGAACTGTATTCCCTTTTTTGCAATGTTCCATCAACAGAAATTCCAGTGTCTACTATCTCATTAGGAGATTTGCCTTCATTGAGTTCTTGTACAGCTTCATTCATAGTTTTATTAGCAACAGCTTGTGCTGCGATTATCATTTTCTGAACAATAAAATTGTAGCTTTTATTGCATAATCCTTTTGGGATATTTATAAGAGTGGTAATTCGATGTGGACCAGCTTGGCCTTAACCAAGTGTTCCCATTGCATACACCAATCTTTAAATAATCTCATACCATACTACATTTTTTGATGTATCAAAGTCTAATTTAAAATCGCAAACACAAGATAAAGATAAATTTGATACTTTTTAAGACTTTTTATTCTCACTTAACGACAACTGTGATGGTCACAAACATTCTGGACTACCAAGTTTATCAAAAATGGAAGTTAAAAATTTCTATATCAATAACCCTGTTGCCACTGACAAATTTTGAGTCTCCATTTGGTACCATTACTTGCTTCACTTTTTTTTGATGCACTTATAAATAATATTTATATTTGCATCAAAAAATATATTTATTTAAAATATATTCTCACTTTCAATATTTACAGAGTTTACAATATTTATATCATTGCTATTAACATTTTTTTACACCGATATTTACAGATTTTTCTTGTTTTCTTAAACCATAAAAGGTGCATTTACGTTTTCGAAGACGTTTAGTAAAAAATTTAACTCTATCACTATTATATTTTGTCTTGCCCATTTTTTTTTTTTTTTTTTTTTTTTTTGTAGAATACTTGTGTACTGGCTTGAATAGCTAACTTATCTTAGCGCGCTTCTTTAAATATGTGGTTTTAAAATATGGCTTTAGAGATAGTGGAGGTATTTCTAACAAAATTGCAAAAAAAAATTCTGGAATAAAAGCTTGACTAGATGTGTTTTATAGACATTTTTCTGTAAGTAGTTCTGTTGCTAAGTAAAATTGAACTTAGGTGGTTGCACAAAAATGATTTTATTAATATAAAAAAAAGTTATTTTGTAAAACGGTTTTCACCAATTGATTTCAAAACAAATTTACTTTTAAATTATCTGAAAAAAAAAAAATATTTTTCTTTTTGAGAGGTTTTCGCCCTTAAATTTTTTTTTTGTCTTGAAAAAACTATAAAATAAAAAAAACATACATACATTGGTGTTTACAAAACATACCAAATTGGTGAAAAGAAAAATATTATCTAAAGTTTTATGGCTTTTTTTTTAAAGTGTATGAAATAGGTGACAGGAATAATGTCGAAAAATGAACTTCAGAATAGCGTCGAATATATTAAAAAATGGCCTAATGTCGCAAAAAAAAAAAAGAAAGAGTGTTGCAAATGAATTTAATAAATAGTGTCGAAAACAAAAAAAAGGAATAGAATCACAAATAGTAAAAAGGGAGTAGTGTCGCAAATTTTTTAATTTTTCATTATTTTGCGACTTGCTCGTAGATAATAGTTTTCTTTCTTATAATTAATTAAAATTACGCCAAAATCTTATACAACTCTTATTATCTTTGCAGGAGAATAACTACATTGTAATATATATATATATATATATATATATATATATATATATATATATATATATATATATATATATATATATATATATATATATATATATATATATATATATATGTATATATATATATATATAAATCGAGAGGCTGAATCAGCGCGAATTCGCAAAAGTGCAAAACGTGGCAAAAACTGGAATAAGTGCGAACTGACATATGTGCGAATTTGCATAAGTGCGCCAAAGAAGCTTACTCGTTCGCCATACTCTCTTTTTTTTTTCCTTTTGTGTTTTTTGAATATAGCAGCTATATCTAGATTTTTGTTGCTTATAGAATTGATATGCGTAACTCTTACGTCAAAAAATGCTGTCTGTCCATTTCGCCACAAACCATTTACTTTAATATCCAAACGAGCTTGTTTACTTTTACTTTCTGTATGGAAATAAAAATTCTCATTATCAAGGGGTATGAGGTTGTGGTTCGGATTGAACATTGAATCAACTGCAATTATTTTCTCGTTGCGATGCTTAAGTCTGTCAGTAAATAATATTTTTTCAAGATCTTCTAGAACATTCCAGGTTGAGTTTTAAAATTGTATCTTGATCTATAATTTGCTGTACAAGATTTTTAGTTAATTTCACAGATGATAAAAGCTGATGAGGCGCTTCTTCAACTAGTATAGGTATACCCAATCCTCAATGTCGAGGAGTTAATGTAAAAAGTTTTCTAATGTGATCCTCAAAGGGTGTATTTTTTCCAAAAAGAGTTGGCAACAACAAATTACTAAGTATTTCGTCTACGGGCGTTAGATATTATTCAAATTTTGGAATAGTTCTCAGAAAATATGTAAATTTTGAACAAAATCCTTTTGTAAACGCAATAAAAGCGGCCTGTGGTTGCGTCTCTGTTACTTTACAAAATTGTTTTAACACGGTTAACCATTTTGCTACTTTCTCAGTGCAATATTTGTCCTTAAAATTTTGCAAACCAATTACTGAACCCAAATGTTGTTGACCCTTTATTGTTATGTTGACCGATTTATCCAATACTATGCCTGCATTCTCTGCCAATGAGGGGGATTTTACAAATAACCAACATTTAGATTGCTTTACATAGTAGCCATGTTTACATCCTTCATTAGTAAGGAGTGGGTACCAGCTGTGTAAGTTTGCAATGCTTTCACTAGGTGCAGCATCGTCTGCTAACCACACCTGCTTAACTTGTGGGTAATTTACAAGTAAGTGTTCTATTATAATCGTGGTGTTACAAGAATACCATGGCAAAGCAAGGGGATCACCTTGAGTAGTGCTTTCTTAGGATGATATTTCTTTACCCCCTGCCACAAAGAGCGTCGATGGATTTCAATAAGTATTTATTAAGTAAATTGAAATTAATGGACAAATGATCTGGATGTTGTGTACACTCTTAAAAAAGTTCCGGTAAATTGACGGAAATTTCAGGCAAAGTACCTGAACTACTTCGTGCCGTATGGAACCAGACGAACATTCAGGTAAAATACCTGAACCTGAACTGTTTCAGGATTTTTACCTGAACCTGAACTGTTTCGGTTCCGGTATTATGCCTGAACCTGAACCAGTTTAGGTTCAGGTAAAACACCTGAACCTGAACCAGTTCAGGTTCAGGTATTTAACCTGAATGTTCGTCTGGTTCCATACGGCACGAAGTAGTTTAGGTATTCTGCCTGAAAGAGTAAATATTCCAAATCGCGATTATAAACTAACTTGGTTTTAAGCGTAAAAGCGGTATTAATTTTTATTAGGCCTGAAGATAGCAAAAATTCAAAATCGTGATTATAAATTAACACGGTTTAGTTGTAAAAACGATATTTTATTTTCAGAAAGTCATATTTAAAAGTATAATTTATACAAATTTACGCAATATAGCAATAACAATGCATATAGCAAATAATAACCAAAATATAATTGTTTCTGCGTTTAAAATTGATTAAGTTTTTGTCTAAGGTAAAGGGACAAGTCACTCGCTCCTCTCGATAGATGCATTTCATCTTGGTAACCTAACACGGTATGCTGCAAAAAGTACAATATGTGGCTACATTGTTCCGCATACTCCATGTTCATTAAAAAATAAAGTTTAATTAAGATGTCAACAGCATAAGATATACATCTGTTGAAAGGAATAGCTCGACAGTCTGTAACAATAAATAATTGACCGACACTGCAATGAGTACCCAAAGCTATGACTAACGGATGCTTGTGAGTAAGACTTTAAAGCATAATTTCCATCGGAGTTGATGCCTATTTAGATGTAGAAATGAAATTAAAATAAGTCATTAAAAAAGGTAATTTTGATACAAAATAAATATAAATGTCAGCCCATTAGAACTAATACTATATTTACTATATTTAATGACTAAAAATACAGTAGAATCCCGTTAACTTGGACCTTGGATAAGTCGTACAGATTTTCAATTCCCCTTGAACTCTCTACATACCCAGAACTTCGCATAACTCGGACATTCGCTAAGTCAAACTAATTATGTATTCCCCTACCCTTGAGAGTCCGACTCTCAACGGGGCATTTTTCTGTATAATAATGTTAATAACATGTATAGTTATTAAATACATTTTATTATGCCTATTAATACAAACTTAGTATTATATTTAATATGTATAAATTTATATCTAATAGAATCTAATATTACAATATACCGGATAAAATTGAATAAAATGTTCTGCAACTTCAGCAGCTGATGCACAACTTTTATTCTTTGATGGTACTTTAATTATAAAGGGGAGTAATAACAATGCAAAATCCATTTCAATTCCTGAATTAAAAATAAAATAAAAATTTAGTGAAATCATTTTATCAATTTATAATTTATTAGAATGGTTTTAGATATCTATAATACACCCAGCCATATTGTTTAGATAACACTTACGTACCTATAGAAGGGTTGTCTTGCATATCAAGCTCAGCAAGAATCTGCTTGACCATCAAATTTGTCTTTTGCCTTGCCCAAGAGATAACATGTGGCGTTATTAACTCCCATTGAGCCAAAAAATCATTCAACTCTGCGAAATTGCAACAGAAATCTTTCTGAAACTAAGATAGGAATATAGTATAAAACTGTTAGTAAAATTTTCTTTCATTTTATAATATTTCAACAAAACCTATATGTCTAATATATAAAAATTACAAGATGTATCTTCTATGAATTACAAGACATTTCATTTTTGTGATTGAATAAATTTAAATATTTATTGGTGAAAAGTTTGAATGATAATACGATGATTTTTATTCTTACGTGTTTGGATAGATCTTTTAGTGGCGGAAATGTTTTGAGTAAATCATCAAATGTTGGCCTACAATTCACAATCCATTTTCGACGAGAGCATGAAGTTTTTTCCATATAGTCCAACTTTTTTTCATAGCCTAAGTCATCAAATCTCAACTCTGCAATCATACTTATTTCTTCTTTTGAAAAAGGTGCTAAAAAAAAAAAATTTATAAATTAAAAATATTTTACAATCTTTAGATATATTTAAAATGTTTTTTTTAGCTATTTGTTTATTTGCTAATTGTTTATATAATTTATTAGGAAAACTAATTACAATATTGAGTATTAGGTAAATGTCTTAATTAAATGAAGAAAGAGTGCATGAAAAATATACTAAGCATTAAAGTACCTGATGAGTGGAACTCTTCTGCTAAAACAATAACTCTCTTTCGACGAGCTTGAACTTGAACACCAACATGTTTACGCATAGTTTTCAGTCTCTCTTCTATGTGGCCATGAGGAGTGACCTTCTTTTTCTTATTACCCATTACAAATTCTGTATATGGACTATAATAGTTTTCCTAAAAATAGTATTTTTTTGTAAAATTAGATTTCATTACCTCATAGACAACTTGACCAATAATTGACAAATTGTAAAGATACTACTACTTATAACAATAATAAGTTTACTACTAGTAATAATTAGTATCCTCCTCGACTGAAGTGGCCCTTATTTTGGGGAGGTAAAATATATAAGGGGAAAAAAATTAGTAAAATGTCTTTAATAGTCTCACATATCCAAGTTTTCCACTAGAATGCAGCTTTGGAAAGGCAGTGATAATTGCTTTTGCAAGATTAGATTTGGTTTTTGTGGAAGGATACCTAAAACACATATATTAACAAAAATATTTTTATATTTAAAATTTATTATAAGCAAATGTTTGATAATTTTTATAAATAACTTTATAAATAATTTGTTATAAACTAATATTTTCATTGTTATGTCAATAGTTCCATAATAATACGGAAATAAACATAAACTTACATAATTCCAACTCTATGGACCATTGAGTTAACAACAATGTGGATCATATCTTGAAGCCTTTTAATAAGTGCACCTGTAGAATCATATTCTGCCAAAACAAGCTTACCTGTTTGATGCTCATCAAGCAAACTACGTATGTTCTACATAAAAAGAAGATCTTAATTTGTATAAGTTGAAAATTTATTTTCTTTAAATTATAAAAAGAATTTATTTAATTACTAATAATGTGGTGTAAAATAATGAACTAAGTATGAACAAAACACTTAAAAAAATAAGTTATATTATAAGTTATAAGGTATACTTACAAAGTCAATGTTATCCAATCTTAAAGCAACCTGTACATCAGTAGTAGAAACATTTAACTTAATTTTTCTTGACTCGTTTAAAACGTCAGGTGAAAGTTGAAGTGTCGATGATAATGTTGGTGACACAGCTGACTCATCAAGGGGGCTGTTTAAAGTTTCAGTTAAACTGAAAGCTATAGCTGTTGTATCTTTAAAGCATGTTACATCTTTTAATACACTATCGTTTTTCTACAAAAAAAAAGCAGTTTATATTTACTTCTGTTTATTAAAGGAATAAAAATGTATTATAATCATATATATATATATATATATATATATATATATATATATATATATATATATATATATATATATATATATATATATATATATATATATATATATATATATATATATATATATATATATATATATATATATATATATATATATATATTATATATATATATATATATATATATATATATATATATATATATATATGTATATATATTAGGGTGGTGCTTAAAACAACTTTTTTAAGAAAAACCTGCTGGTACCCCCTAAATGTGTTTTATCTAATACAAAAACACTAGGTTTAAAATTTTTTTGAACAAAAAATATTTTTAGGGGTAGCTCAAGGCCCTCAAAAATTTGACGGGTCCCTAATATTTTGAAAAAAAAAACTTTTTCTAAAGTATGTCAACCTGGTACTCAAAATAAGCAAAATTATATAAAAAATTTAAAAATGAAAATAATTTTTTATAAAAATAATTTTTTCAGGTATAAATGCATAAAAACTATTGTTTTTAAGCTGAAAATGAAAAAAGTCAATATTTTCAGGTTTTTTGAGAATAATTTTTTTAGGCATGTTTTTTATGTAAAATGATTATTATTTTTGAAGTTTTTATATAATATCGCTTCTTTTGAGTACCAGGTTGACATACTTTAGAAAAAGTTTTTTTTTTCAAAATATTAGGGACCCGTCAAATTTTTGAGGGCCTTGAGCTACCCCTAAAAATATTTTTTGTTCAAAAAAATTTTAAACCTAGTGTTTTTGTATTAGATAAAACACATTTAGGGGGTACCAGCAGGTTTTTCTCAAAAAAGTTGTTTTAAGCACCACCCTAATATATATATATATATATATATATATATATATATATATATATATATATATATATATATATATATATATATATATATATATATATATATATATATATATATATATATATATATATATATATATATATATATATATATATGTATATATATATATATATATATATATATATTATATATATATATATATATATATATATATATATATATATATATATATATATATGTATATATATATATATATTGTTTTGGACACGTTATAGTGAGTTATAAATACTTATAGATTTTGTTTATTTAACCAAACTATTTTTAGCAACTTAGTAATAAGCTTTTCTTTAACTGCTATCTTAAGAATTGAGAATTGAGTAAAATATACAAATTAATAAAACTAAAAAATCATTTTAATACATTGCAATGATACAAATGGTGACGTAAAATAATATGCTTGTATATACATGTAGGTTTTAAACAATGAACAGCATCAAAAGGTTTATAATCTGCTAAGTCACTTGCTCTCAAACATACACGCTCTGAATCGAGAGAACAACAATACGATAGAGTCAGATCACAATACATGTGGACAAGCCACTTAAGTCCAATAAAATAAATTACACTGTGATGAACATATATTTGTTCAATTTTAACAAATGACGGTTCACCTTCATCACTAATAGAGTGAAGTACAGACATCTTAGTTTGGTACTTTTGATCAAAAATGACTACTTTTTCAGTCATAAACACATCTATTTTTTCACCAATAAAAGGTAAAATTAATGACTTATGCTTAATATCTGACGATGAAATAATTGTACCATTTCAAACTTCTGAAATCCCCTTTGATGGACATCTAGTCATCCAAACAAAAGCATGAGAAAGTTGGTGTCTGCTTGCGAGAGAAAACGCTATATTTTTAAAGTTATAAATGATATGAGCAAGACGCTTAGAAAAGTTATGCTTAGCTTCAAACCGCATTACCATCATATGTAAAAGTGGTCCGCTATTCTCTATTATAGTACCATAGTGAACCATTCTGTGATGTTTGTATAAAAGTCTTTTATCAGGATAACATATTTTAAATAACTCATGATGCTCTGATACAAGATCTTTTAAGTACAAAACATGCGACAGTACAGAGTTTGGCAATAAAATAATTTCTGTCAGCTGTTTTAGCAATTGGTACAAACGCCATTTTAAATTATCTACTTTGTCAATAACATCAGCTAAAATACATGGTAAATGTAAAAACAAAATCAGCATCTGAGCTGACCTTTGTCCAAGCAATGAGCTGTGACTTTTTAAATGTGACTCACTTATAAAACTTGGCTTTGAGTTACTAACCAAACCATAATCCATTGTATTAATACGACAATTAAGCCCATGGAGATTAATAAGCTTCAAGTCATAAATTATGTGGCGCAAAAATAACTTGACTTCAAACGGAATTACACTTTCAAACAAATCATGCATTATATCGGCTGAGTCATTACAAGCAGGATGGTAATAGTTCAAACTTTTTAAAGTTGAGGGACACTTTATGCCACACTCTTTAGATGAAATGGTACCATTATTAAGCTGCTCAATATGTTGCTCATATGATTGTTGTGTCCTCATTGTAAGAGAATATTCACAAAATACTTTTTGCATCTCATCCTGAGTTGCCATACACAAGTCACAAGCAAATGATGCACTGCTAAAATTTTCCATGTATCCAAGAATTGCATGTAGCTCTAAATTATCACCAACAACTTGTGTTAAAAAACAACGAATATTTATCTCTTTTCCATCACAAAAAACAGTAAAGCCCTCATCATGTAAGTCTTTTAATTGCTGAACAATAACTTCCATAACAGGATCAGTGGTGTACCATTTAATGTCTTCCGAATGTGCCAAGGCCAACAAATGAATATTGCTTAATGCAGAATTAGCAGCTGGTGGAAAGTTTTTTATTGTAAAATAAAATGAACCTAACTTATGTATTCCAGTTTTGGATCCAAGCAGATTTGTTGTCTCTACCTCATCAAAATAAATCTGAATAAATACATGAATACTGTTAGGAAAATAATGTTTGGCATATGTTTTTAGCTGTCTCCCATGCTTACCGTCTAACCAATCTTCTGCTATATCATTTGCTGACTCATTGTTTCTTTTTAAAATTTTCCAAGTCTCAGGTTGTCGCAAAACCAATTTCAAAGTTTTCTCAATTGGTATAAGGTAAAATTTATTTTTTACACACACCTGCATTTGTTGCTTTGTTGATCTGTCTCGCTTAACATCCCACCGATCTCCTATTAAATGTGCTTCAGGTTCAACATAGAGACCTTTTACTTTAAGATAATTCAACATTTTATAATGAGTATCAATGCCTTTAAAAGGATTTTTCCAGTTATTAAATTCTTCTGAAAGAGTATTAAATGTTGCGGCATCACATCTGTATGTTTTTAACACAACGTCTTGGCAAGCAGATAATTAATAATATCCTTTAACAACTCATTTAAACTATCCATTATGAACTGAGATACGCTTAGAGAAATGGAACTAGAAGATTGCAGAGACATCAAAAATTTTAATGCTGCGTGTGAAACACCATACTCGTCTACAATAGGTGCAATAAAAACACTTTCTTTTACTACACTTTCTTTTGTTAAACTTTCAGAATATAAAACCTCATTGTAATCTTCAGCTAAGTATTCATTTTCTGTATTTTGGATAGTTATATCTGAATGTTTATCAACTTCTTTCAAATTATTATGACACATATGAGTTTTTTTAATGTTTACATAACACTTTATAAAGTGTGAATGTGCGCATGCAACCATCAGCATTGCATCGTAAAAAACAAGGTTCAAACAACAGGTGCGTGTTTCTTAAATGATAAGTATAATCATTAGTGTATTGAAATTTTTTTAAGCACAAGTAACAACTCAGTCGTAAAAATCCCTGAAAAATATCATGTAAAATATAAAAATAATGTTACACTAATGCATTAATTTAATCATCATAATTTATATTTAACTAAAAATATACTTTTAATAAAAAATAAATAATATTTTCTGAGCTCCATATTTTATTATAATTATATTTTTCACCTTTTTTCCCTCAATTATGGCTTGAATTTTAATGGCCTGGCCCATTTTGATGCCCATTGCATGCAGCAATAATGCGTTCAACTCCAAAAAAGCTGTCCTGTCAATTTCTTCATCTAAAATAATAATCAATAGTATATTTAGTAAAAGAACTATATATCTTTGTTTCAATAGAGTTAAAAGACACTTTTTCATATTTTAATACAATTTATACAGTTTATAATCAGTTATATTTTGGACTAATTATTGCAACCAGCACTTAATAAAAATAGTAGAATTCAAAAATCCAAGTGCACATCTATTACTTATAATATTTATTACTTATAATATACTATATCGATATCATATTGTATACAATATGATATCGATATAGTATACTATTTCAATATTATATTGTAGTATACTATTATATTATATTATTTAATATACTATTATTATCTAATACTATACTATTATACTATATATTATAATATATACTATTATCTAATACTATACTATTATACTATATATTATAATATATACTATTATCTAATACTATACTATTATACTATTATTATCTAATATACTACATTATTTATAATATAATTATAATGATAATATATTTATCATATTAGTATGATATACACTATATATAGTGTATATCATACTAATATGATAAATATACTATCATTATAATTATATTATAAATAAACTATTTATATAATATATTATCATGATATATATACATATATATATATATAGTATATATGTATAGTATATACAGTGATATATAGTGACATGATATATATTATATATATACTATATATTATATAGTATATATGTTAATAATATGATATACTATATCATATGTTTATATCTTATCTTCTTTATATCTATACACTCATACATACATGTATATAATTCAAATATGTCTTGAGAACAAGAGAAGTGTATATATAGTATATAGAGAAAGAGAAGTGTATATATACTATATATACACTACTCTTGTTCTCAAGACTTTATATATTATATACACAATACACATCTCTTTTACGTACGTACGCGAAATATTTTCGGAAAAAGATGAAAAAGGTAGCTTACTTTTAAGCTTTTCTGTAGCATCTATAGATATTCCTTTTGATAATAAATACTCTGCTAACTGTAACTCTGACAACTTTTTAAAGCTCATTTTTATTAAAAAAATTTAAAATAAGAGAATGCATGCACATGCGACCTCTAAAAAGTTTAATGGCGATTGCCGCTGGCGCATAAAATTTTTTCACATTTTCAGGCAATTTACTTGATGTTTCCGGTAAAGAACCTGAACATTCCGGTAGAAAAGTTCACGAAACGAACATTTCAGGAATTTTACACAAAGTGTTCAGGTGGTTTGCTAAAATACCTGAACTTTTACGGCAATTTGCCTGAATGTTTGAATTTAATTGCCTGAATGTTCAGGTAAATCTTTCTACCTGAACCATTCCGGCCAGAGTTTGCCTGAACTTTTTTAAGAGTGTAAGGCGACTTGTGCGTCTTAGTGCGAATTGGCATAAATGCGAACTGAAATAAGTGCGAAGCGGTTACAAAAACTGGCGTAAGTGCGAATTGGCATAAGTGCGCCTAATAAATTTACAAACATTGGCATTAGTGTGAATTGGCATAAGTGCGAACTGGCATAAGTGCAAAGCAGTTGCAAAAACTGGAATTGGAATAAGTGCGCAGAATAAATTCGCAAACATTCGCACTTTTGCCAATTCGCATATATGCCAGTTCGCACTTATGAAATTCGCGCTTATTCAGTCGTAACAAATATAAAGGAAAGAATCCAGAACTGGAGGGAATAACAATATAATAGTATCATGGTATATTCAAAAATATCATAACTTATTATATTTAATATATTATTTTTTAAAATAACAATTAAATTATTATGTTGTTTTAAAAATATTCTCTTATTTTATACTATATATAATAAATAGAAAAACGATTTGATCAGTCTCGCTATCTATAGGATCTTCAAAAAGCTAATTTATGACATTGTTTTTTATGAATATCAAGCACTCTTTTTGTAGTATACACTAACAAAATTTACAAACATATTTAATTTTGTTTATTTAATGGTTTATATTGTATTTAGTTTAGAACGCTTTTTAAAACATTTAACGTTTTAGTAGTCGAAGATCATGAAATGTACACAAATAAGAAAATAAGTTTAAAAAACATTTAAAACAAATAAACAATAAGATGCTTTAAGAGAAAATGATAAAAATGTTTTAACAAAAAAATTATTGTAAATATAAAATTTAATAATAATTAAATAGCAACTCTAAACGTCTCTCTCTAAAAGCTGAAAATATGCTGAAAACCCTGCCTATATCTAAAACAATTTCTGTATAAATTGACATTAAGGCAAAGCCTTAATGTCAACTTTTAAAAAAAAAAAAAATCGCTTTTTTAACACTCTACTTCTTGAATAAGTTTTTTATCTCTAGGTATTGTACCTAGAGTTGAACCATAAAAAAGTAAAAGAATGTTAAAGAAACTAGTCATTGTCAGAAGTTTTGTTTAAAAAATACTAGGTACGAAATACTAGGTACGAAATACTAGGTACGAAATACTAGGTACGAAATACTAGGTACGAAATACTAGGTACGAAATACTAGGTACGAAATACTAGGTACGAAATACTAGGTACGAAATACTAGGTACGAAATACTAGGTACGAAATACTAGGTACGAAGTACTAGGTAGGGATTTTGATTGATTATTCCATTTGCATGAATAGAGGTTGGATACAAGAATAGGATTATCCAGACACTTCTAAAAAGAGATTTGCTAATCTCATTTAGCTTTCAGGTAATTAACATGGCGGTTTGAACAGCAAACGTTCCGTATGAACCAACATTCTGTTTGAAATCTTATAAGAATAATAAGATCATAAATAAGATGGTCCAGTAGAAATAAAGTGATAGAAACCTTAAAATAATCATACACTAAAGATAATGAGTGATAATAATGATTGATTTGCTTTCCACATTTTTTAGGCTTTAGTTCTTCAATATTTAAAGCTATTGCTAATTCAAAAGCAATATGAAACCAGGTATAATGAAATAAATCAATACTAAACTTATATTCTTGACGGATGTTTTAATTGACAATATCAAGACTCTGAAATTTGGGATATATCGTATTTCTTATCTTGGATTCTAATTGTAATCTAAAAAATTCAATTTATCTACTGTCTAATTTATTTACTGTCTATATACCTTATAACGATAGACTACTATTTAAAATTGGCACTATCAGAGCTTCATCAGTTAAAATTGAAAATTATTTGATTTTATTGATTTCAGTAATGAGAACCTTCTCAAAAGCCTGTGCTTACCCCAGTAAGCACAGATCGTTTTTAAAACATTTAAAAAACGTTAAAAACCGTTTTCATAGGTTTTTTAAACTTTTTTTTTTTTTTTTTTAATATTGATTTAGGTGCCCCAAGAAGTCCTTACGGTCTTATCACAGAGCACCGCGGAAGAGCGTTTAATAGGAAGTTCACGCCTCCTTCCCAACCGATGTCGCAAAACTTGTCCAGAGGTGGGGTTTGAACCACGGATCTTACGTTTCTGAAACAAGTGCGCTACCACTGCGCCACGGCTGCTCAGTTTTAAAAACGATCTGTGCTTACTGGGGTACCACAACACTCTATAAGTTAATTTTGTGTGGTTTCAGAAACGTATGTGGCATATAGAGAGGCTGATATTAAATGATCTTATAAGATAGTATTACCTGAATAAACTCCAAAACTAAGTAGTTCGAAAATCTTTCCTACAACTTTACTTTTTGAGGACTCTCCTATATTACAGGTCTCAACTATAATAGAATATTGGAGAGTCTCCTATATTATATTATGGTTGATTCTCCTGACAATAGAGCAATTTTTTCTACCAACTTATAAGATCCTCTTTAACTGAAACTTAAATTTGAAGATACAGTTTTTTTTTAAAGAAATAAAATTTCAATATTTTAATTGCTTATATTTATAGCAAATGACAATGGAAACTGTTTATAAAGCTTTGTGGCAAAACTATTATTAATAGTATTGACCTGTTAAATAAAATAAGAATGTTATAGTTAAATGTTATATGAATGTTATAACTATAAGCTCAGAAACAGTTTAAGTAAACTCTTATAAAAAGCATGTTATTTTTTTATCATAAACATAGTTTTAAAAACATAATTGAAAATGTACTTTAAAGCTACAAAACCTTGATCCATTTTAAAAGATTGTATAAAAACAATCATATCAGGGCATCTTCTCGCCAAAAGTTTAACAATAAAATAAACTGGTGAGATTTAAACCACTTAGATTTGGTGAACAATTTTTTTTTTCACAACATTTTATGTTTCAAATGTGAAAAGTATCAATAGCATTTGGTTAAATAAGTACAGCCATAAGGCAAAAAGCTATCTTTCCACGGGCTTCAAGTGTTGACGGCATTCAACTTGACAATAAAAACATATTACCTAAGGTTCATTTTCGAAAACACATTTTTCAAAAATTTTCGAATAAAACGTTATCGATAAAAAACTTTTTTTTCGGATTTTGTAAAAACTTTCGAAAACTATCGAATAGCTAAAATAATTTCGAAAACTTAAATTTAATTTTGAAAACTCATTTTAATTTCGAAAATATATATATATATATATATACTAAATAAATTTTGAAATTAAATTGAATTTCGAAAAGTTAAATAAACTTCGAGAAAAAAAAATGAGTTTCGAAAAATTAAATTAGTTTCGAAAAAAACAAAAATATTTCAATTAGCTAAATTATTTTCGAAAAAAAAAAAAAAGTTTTACAAAGGTTAATAATTTTCAAAAAAAAAAAAGAATTTCGATAAGATAAATTAGTTTTAATAAAAAAAAGCTCTTCGATTAAATGAATTTTTTTTGAAAAAAAAAATTTTTTTTTTGAAAAGTGGAATGTCTATCTGCGCATTCAATGAACGCGGACGTTTACAAAAACTTTTAGCAGCACGGGCGCCTACAAAATCAAATGTTCATGCAACTAGGGATTGCGAATTCCTGGACTTTTTGCTATCCCGGGATAGCGGGAATTGTTGATAGTGTTCCCGGAATC